TATATTTATTTAGCTAATTATTAATAAAATATATATTATAAAATAAAAAAATAATAAAATATATAATATTAAAATTATAATATATAAAGTAATAATATAATAATCTTTTTTTATTATTATAGAATTTATTTATAAATAATATATATTTATAAAAAGAATAAATTTTTATTATATTAAAAAACATATTAAATAATTACTATAATAATTACTCTAATTAATACTTTAATTATATTATTTAAATAAAATATTTTATAGTTTAATAATCATTATAAGTATTATAAATTTAATAAATTTAGCTATTATATATAAAATTAATAGTAGAAATATTATAGTAATAAATTAAATAATTTTATAAATTTAATAATAAAAATAAATAAGTATAACTATAATATTAGTAGTATAACTCTCTATAAGTATTATAAATAAATAAATTTCTTTAATTAGAATAAAAATTACTAATTAATTATATAAAATAATAGAAATAGTATAATTATAAATCTATAAATATATTTATAATATCATCAATATTATAAACAAAATATAAAAATTATAATAAATAGTAGAAAAGCTATAAAACTATAAATATAGATATTATTTAGAAAAAGAATATATAAAAGTAGTAGTAAAGTAATAAAGAAAAAGTAGCTATACTAAAAAAAAGAAAATCTAGATTATATAAATATTAAAATTTATAAATATATTATTTTATTATATTAGGGGGATAGGGGGATATGATAGCCACGTATCGCAGCCCTTTCATTGGTCAACCTACCCTACAATTCAGAGCGACGGAGCGATTGTTGCTTTCCTCTGAACTTGAGATCCCTGAATGTTTTATAGATCATTGCCAGAAAAATGGGGGAGATGGATATGAATGAGTTACATAAGAAAGAAAAGAAGGATAAAACCGAATAGTTTAATTAAAAGAAATTAAATAAATAAATAAATAAAAATAAAAATATATTCTGTGGCAGAAAGTACAGAAAGCACACCGCCCGGCCTATCTAGGTAACACCTTATTTGGACGTCCAACCATTCATCTAGAGGACGATGGTAGAAACAAAAACTTCATATTTGAATGACCTAGCCGGTAGAGGAGTATTGCACATAAGATAGACAAAAAGCAGGGCAGAGAAGATAAACCATGGGTCGGGCTAAGCGCACTGGTAAGCCAGGAGATGATGTATAGATAACAAATGCTGACCTATCTAATGTTAGGGAGCGTTTTAATGCAAAATTCCAACCAGGCTGAGCCCAAAAGAGCGAGGCCAAATTCAAAAGGGAGCGTACCGCCATCTCGTCCGGGCCGACATGAGAGCATAAGCGATGCGTTCGGCAGCGATATGGAAGTATCCGATGAAGATGATCTATCTGATAACGGCCAGAATGGCTTAGATGATGCACGGTAAGGGAAAGGACAAAAATTTCGCCAATAGTCACTACGCTCGACAGCTAAGCGTTTGATGTGGCTAGCAATGCATTGAAGAATCTGCAGATGGCGATCGAAAAGGCAGGGAAAAGCGACACCTTTGCGAAAGACATGGAAAAAAAAGTGAGAACTGAGGAGAGAAGACTCAAGAACATGTTCGAAAAAGAAGATGAGCAGTGGTGAGTATTCCACTCCACTGGAAGAGGAAAAACGTTCTAAAACGAAAAACAGGCACAACGAAGATGAGAATTTCCAATGCCAGTTCTCTTCCTTGATGATAGCAGTTCTATCATCCAGGCGAGTTAAGGCCAATGTAACCTCGAACGGTACCGGAGATAAAACTGTAATATCAGATAGCATGCAATCTGCAGCCAATCACCCTCTATACCTCAAAACGCAGGGACTTCTTGAGTCTGCTCGTAATCTAATCAGTGAGCTAGACAGCATTGGTACCCATGGACTAAAAGCCAAGCTTCCCCAGGACCCAAAGGAAGGACTTGAGAAAGACACAGCAGAGGCACGCCGTCTTATTGCTCGGGGCGCAGAAGCAACCGCACTGGCAATAGAGAAACAACTGGTATATAACGGGCACAAAGGTCAATTGCGAGATAGAAAGGAGGAGGCATTCTTGAATGACATCAACTTGCAGGCGATGCTTGACATGGGAAGAGACGCTCTAAATGAAGGCCCTGGCAACGGCATCAAGCCTCAGAGCTGGGGGATCGTGGCACGCCATCTGCAAAGGGGAATGTATGAGCTCGTCAAGGCCTTGCCTCGGGCAAACTGAATTGAAGATATCTTTCTTATTGAGGCCACACGCCTAGCACCGTCATGTACCATCATCAACCAACGATGTTCATAGTTCATATCTTAGCTGTCATCCCATTCCTTTTTTTTTTTTTCTCTTTTCTATCGTCTGTTGCTCTGCTGCCTCCCGCGGTTAATATATACCACGTGACGCCAAGACTTTGCGCTAACTCGCTTACTTTTTTCCATTTTCCGCCCACACAAAAGAAAAAGTCGCACTTTCGACATCTTCCAACGCCTGAACGACGGTAAGTAAAACAGCAACAACCAGGCCAACCGCTCCACGACGTCAAGGTAAGATGCCCTCCCTGACTCTGATTTGGGCTACTGCCGGCAGACATGTTTTTTTCTGAGAGCCTGTCAAGTGCTGCGAGTGGAATTGGGTTGCAAAGCTAACAGGATCGTGTCTTGACTGCAGATGGGTGCCCTTAAATATGTGGAAGAACTTCAGAAGAAGAAGCAGTCCGATGTGATGCGCTTCCTCCTGCGCGTCCGATGCTGGGAGGTGAGAAAAACAACCCTACAGTCCTTTCCCTAGTCCGAGCGAACCGATTCATCATTCAAAGACCTGGACCGAGTTTGTCGACAGCGATCCGACGAGGACCATGGCCGAAGAGGAATCCGCTTCAATCGTCTTTTGATTTCTGTGGCACACACAAAATATGCACATGTTGCCGTTGATTTTGCAGCGTGCCTTGCTATACACTCGTTGAACTTTGCTGAGAGTGCATTAATATAGCTTCGTCAACTCAATGTCATCCACCGCGCCTCCCGCCCATCTCGCCCTGACAAGGCCCGTCGTCTCGGATACAAGGCCAAGCAGGGCTACGTTATCTACCGCATCCGTGTGAGACGCGGTGGCCGCAAGAGAACCGCTCGCAAGGGTGCTACCTACGGTATGGATTACCCCGTGGATTGCATAACGCCGCTCCGCTGTGGCTAACAGGAGTTACATAGGCAAACCTACCAACCAGGGTGTCAACCAGCTCAAGTACCAGCGATCCCTCAGATCCACCGCTGAGGAGCGTGTTGGCAAGCGATGCGCCAACTTGCGTGTTCTCAACTCCTACTGGATCAACCAAGATTCTACCTACAAGTACTACGAGATCATCCTCGTTGACCCTCAGCACAAGGCCATCCGCAAGGATCCTCGCATCAACTGGATTGTCAACCCCGTTCACAAGGTAAATGACTCCTGGAGACATGCCCAATATGTGGAATCTGCCGCTGATCTCTCTTCTAGCACCGCGAATCCCGTGGTCTTACTGCCACCGGCAAGAAGTCCCGTGGTCTCAACAAGGGCCACGGCTACAACAAGACAACCGCCGGCAGACGGAAGACCTGGAAACGACTCAACACCCAGAACTTCTGGAGATACCGTTAAATGTAATGAATGGTTTGGGCTTTGCGGGTTTTCAATTTTGTTGTCATGTTTTACCAAAATTCTTCTATCTTATTCTCCGAAGCATGCGCAACTCAATGCATGTCATACCAAGAAATGATATAATTCCTGGCTATGAAATGACCCTCAAAAATATGCCGCCAATTCAGCTTAACAAACTATCCCTTCCACAACCCTCTGTAGTATCATCCACGGGCTAATCCCTATCTTGATGAGTGCCTATGAGTGCCTATGATTGCCCAAGCCTGCCCGTAGCACACTTCCAGGCACCATGGTGCTCGCATCGGTAGTTTTAAGTGGTGATCAGCCTCCGTCTAATTAACTGCCCAGGGCCCAGGGGCTGAGCGACGAGCGATGGAGGGTGTGGCTGATGTCAGAACCAAGACCTTCCGTCCGCCTCCACGTAACTAACTAAACTAACTAAACTAACCTTCGTCCACCAAAGGCGCATTAACTGTCCTCAGCTTCAACCAAACACTCCTCCCACCTTTTCAGCCCGAGCTGAGCGCACCTTTTCGTCGGGCTTTCAGATACGCAGACTCTCCAGGAAGGCGGTGCTACCAGGCCCAGGATGCTGCTTCTGCCGGCCAAAGTGCTGCTGCCTCGTTGTTCGGGACGCGGCGGGAAGACGAACAATACTTGACAACGACTGCTCTTGAATTGAGCACTGCTGCCCTGCGGCGGCCGTCTCGGTTTCAGCTCTGAGACAGACCGGCGGCCATCGACATCGATTTCGAGAACAAGAAACATACAACGCCTCCCGGTGCTGTCATCCAGCCTCGTCACCAGATCTGCGCCCTGCACGCCCTCATGGTTGTTGCTGTGCTTGCCAACTTTCTGGTGAAGGCCAGCTTGAGACCGACGGCAGACCGCGAGTGATATATTTTTACTTGAAAGAGACTACCGGGACACCTGGCTACCCCTATTGTTGAAGTCTCTAAGAGCTCATAATAGTGTTTACGTGTGCGATATCGAGCGTCGAATTAGGAATAATGGCGCCGACGTGGGTGTCTCGTTTCACCCATCACAACAACAGACCTGCGAACGCCGGGCCTCCCGCCATAGAGAGCCACCCGGCACCCCGGCCATCGTCAAGCCTCGATCCATCTACCCTATTACTTCCTCCAGACCAATCTACAACACAGTCAAGAGCTATTCCTGTTCGTCGTGGCCATTCTCGGTCTACCAGCAATCCATTTCCGGCATTTTTTGCTGGGAAGGGAAGAAAAGCCCGCGGCGGGAGTAGGGACATCATAGATTCTGAGTCTACAGATGGCGAAGATGGATTACATCCTGTCATTACAAATGCGCGGTCCTGTAGCCCTCAGAAACGTGCTGGCTCCGACAACCATATGGAAGAGTACCGGAAACGCAAATGTATGACATGCGATCATACCAATGCATTCCCTTACACCAAAAAGGGGTTCCGGTGCGGAAAATGCGCAACAATGAATGATTTGGAACCTTACCGTAGCAGCAGACTGCGGCGTGGTAAGCCAGATGAAAAACTGCATCCAGATAATATTCAGCAACCCCAAGCTAGAGGTGAGTGCCAATCAAGATCAACACCTTGTGTCCTTTGCACATTTTAATATCTATCTTGCAGTTACCGTAGAGGAAACTCGGAGAATAATCGAGGAATGCCTCATTTCATTTCTTTCCACCCAGCTTGGTGAGCAACGAGTCCGTCAAGCGCGGCCGAAGACAGACCATAGCGGTCCGGGACAAGATGAAGCCGAGCTGTCCAAGCAGCCAGTTTACCCTCAGAGTGACAAGGACGACACCAATATGCCTTCCGTGCTGGTATCTGATGTGCCATCCACCTCTGGAACCTCGCCCCAATCAAAGGCCAAAGTTGATAACTTGGGGCTTCCTTATACGCCTACTAATGACGCACGCGACATTCGGCTAGACCAGAGAAGTAGAGACTCTGGGGCCGATGTTAAGGGTCCGACCACCGTATTTCGTGCATTAGAACAATACATCACGACTTGCTTTGATGGCTGTGATACGCTTAATAACTCATTTATAACCGGCAGAACCCGTTACCATCGGGCAGCGAGTGAGGGCTCGCAACAATCAGTAGGGAGAAAAGCCTCTGTGTCATCAGCAACCCCTGAAGATCATCATGTGTCCAATCTTGATGAAAAGACGATTCTCCTCGGTAATTTTGCCGAGAATGCGTCATGGTGGGCGGAAAGCCGGCGTTCACCAAAAAGTCAGTTACCAAATAATGGTCAGTCATCAAAATCATACGGAACGAAGACCAGTCTCACCAATTCAAAGTCGCCTCGAATAAACTGGCCAGAGCTTCTAGAATGGTACCATCTTGTTATACATGCAGGTGACTCTTGGAATAGTATGATCCTTGATTTACCCGATATGGGCGAGCAAAATGCCTCCCCTACCAAGGAATTAGACGTTCTGGCTCAACTTAACGAAGTAATTATGGAGTCAAGGTTTATAGTTCGAAAGACCTTGCTACGAGCTACAGAGAAACTGCTCCAACGACCGAAACGACCGCTAATACGTCCGGATGATACTCGGTTCCTACTTATACTAATTGAAAACCCACTTCTATACTCCTCTGGCTCTATGCCCAGGACCCCATCTGGCGCCTCTCCCTCAACAGTGATAACTCAACACAACCAGAGACCACCAGGCCTATCCACTTCACCATATAGCAAACCCTCCCCTGAAAAGAGCAGTCGTCTTCAACCCTCCGCAGGAGGTAGTGAGTTATCAAGTCTCAGATACTCCGCCCTAAAAAGAATTTTTGGGCTAATCTCCAATCTACCTAATGAGTGCCATCATTCATTTGTGGGATGGTTCTCACGGCTTATGCCGAGTCATTTCCAAAGATTGGTAGAGGTTGTCAATGGATTTGTTACTTTTCGGCTCGGCAAATCTCACAAGCGACAATCAGCAAAGGCCGAGAATGGACTTAATCTTGGGAGATATGTCCCTACGTTTTCTGCACCGGGGACCGTCACGCATGCACAATTGCACACAGCCCTTCAAGAAAGCCCAGAGAAATCTCCAGCAAGTGAAAATAAGCTGGTCAGCTACGCAGACGATTGGCAAATTCGTGCTGCTGCTCGTGTTATGGCCCTTCTCTTCAGAGCTAATGGTACAGGAAATAGCCGAAAAGTCGAGGGTGGCCCAAGTGCAAGAGAACTTTCCTCTGGCTCCGAGCCGAATAGCAATCGCTTGAATAAGATTCCGATAAACTATTTCTACAATGCACGACTTGACTATGCCGATCTTATTCTAGATTTCGAAGCATGGGAATCTCGTAGTGGAAAGTTTTCCTTCTGCCAATATTCGTTTTTGCTCAGCATATGGGCCAAGATACAAATTATGGAACATGATGCACGTCGACAGATGGAGGCAAAAGCTAGGGAAGCATTCTTTGACACTATCCTTGGTCGAAGAGGAGTAAGCCAGTACCTTGTACTGAAAGTCCGAAGGGACTGTTTGGCTGAAGATAGTTTACAAAGCGTAAGCTCTGTTATTGGATCTGCTGAGGAAGATATCAAAAAGGGGCTGCGCATAGAATTTGCGGGTGAAGAAGGCATTGATGCCGGTGGTTTACGTAAGGAGTGGTTTCTCCTGCTAGTGAGGGAGGTTTTCGACCCGCTTCATGGTATGTTTAACAGCATATGTATCCTAGGTGCTGAGACATTATAGCTAATGATCACCTTGCAGGCCTCTTTCTATATGACGAGGATTCCCAATATTGCTACTTCAATCCATACTGTTTCGAGTCGTCGGAGCAATTTTTCCTGGTCGGCGTGGTTTTAGGATTAGCAATATACAATTCGACCATTCTTGATATTGCGTTGCCTCCGTTCGCCTTCCGGAAACTATTGGCATATTCACCATCAAACGTTACACCTACATTGTCATCGCCGCCTCAGCCATTTAAGCCTACCCTGGATGATTTGGCCGAGTTTCGACCTGCGTTAGCAAAGGGCCTGCGACAGCTCCTAGAATATGACGGAGATGTTGCTGGAACTTTTTGTCAGGACTTCGTAGTCCAAGTTGAACGTTATGGCGAGACGATCCAAGTTCCTTTATGTGCGGGGGGAGAGAATCAACCTGTGACGAATGAAAATCGTCGTGAGTTTGTGGATCTCTACGTGCGTTACATCATTGACGGGGCGGTATGCCGACAGTTCGAACCATTTAGACGCGGATTCTTTACTGTCTGTGGAGGAAACGCACTGCATCTTTTTAAACCTGAAGAAATTGAGCTTCTTATCCGCGGCTCAGAAGAGCCACTTGATATTCCATCATTGCGTGGGGTAGCAATGTATGAGCACTGGCCAGCTTCCTCGCCAGACCGGGAACCAGTCGTGAACTGGTTTTGGGATTTCTTTGAAAGGATCCCAGCTAAAGATCAACGTAAGATACTCAGCTTCATTACGGGCAGCGATAGACTCCCCGCCATGGGAGCAGTCAACCTAGTCATTAGGCTCATGTGCCTGGGTCCGGACTCAGAGAGATTTCCAACAGCGCGGACCTGTTTCAATGCACTTGGGTTGTATCGATACAAAACCCGGCAGAAATTTGAAGAGAAACTTTGGCGCGCGGTAGTTGATAGTGAAGGTTTTGGGCTGCAATGAACGGTTGGGCCTCCTGTACATGCAGTCTGTATGGCTCATGTTCCCATTATTTGTTTATTCTCACTTGGCTGTAAAGACAGCTAAATATAGATAGATACTCCTTTTTTTGCTAATTTTCTCCTGGTATCCCTATTCTCTCTTTTCCTGCTTCGAGTTCCGTTCTAGGGTACGGAGTATATTGCTGGTACTGGCAACTTCCGGCGTTATGGTTTTTATAAGTATGGACTGGCCTAGTAAACTGTCTTCTAGAGTTGGTTTGCTATTTTCATGTGGCCGAGGCTGGACAGCCATTTCCCCATATTCTTCAGACCAGCGCAGCTAAACTCACATGCCCTGAATGAGCTTGAGCTTATTGGACTTTGCTTGAGCTAGTCTGGTGTATCAATGGTTGTTGGTGCGCTATTCTGGCATTAGCTTTCCGCCCTGCCAGTGTTTGTCGAATTGGTCGCGCCATTTACGAGCAGACAAAGGCTCGGTGTTTTCTTTCATGGCCCACGTAAGAATATCATAGGTTGCACTGCGTCGCCGAATCCACAAGGATGTCGATAGGCTTTGGTCATGAGGGGGGTGGCTGCTTTGATAGCACTTTTGTTGATATAAGTCCTCATGTTACTAAGAACGTTGAGTAAACACCCTCGCCAGCTGATATCGCCAGTTAAGACCTGTCTTGTTGAGGGGACACTTCAGGCCAGGGATCGCCCGGGCATTAGCTGCCAACCAGCTGATAGAAATAGAACATGCCTCGCGAGGGAGAAAAAGAAAGTATGTTAGAGGTGAAAATGTTCGAGATTCAAAAATGCTCCGCCAAAGCTGTTGACTTTCGGATATCAATAATATAATGATCATAATGATAAAATTAAGCACATCACGAGCCAAACGTGGGGCGGCTTACAGAATTCAATCCCATTCAGACTTTTTTCTCTTCTCTTTCTTTTCTTTTTCCTTGCTCTCATTGCTTTTTGCTGCCATTTATCTCGCGCTTTTTTTTCTTTCTCGCTGCTGAACAACAAGAAGAAACGGGCGGCGGCTGGACCAGAGTCGAAGGAGCCCAAGGCCTGCATGCGGATACCACTGGTGCTCAATGTTTCGTATATCTTACTGACCAGGATTGTCATGCCTTGAGAAGGATGCGTTGGCCATCTGTTATATTCAGTCTCCGTAAAAATATAGTAAGCCCCAGGGACATTGATTTGTTGGGGGGATGCTCCTTTGGTCCCTTCGTTTACGAATGGTGGAGGCGATAGAAATATATAGACAGGTTAAATCTCGCCCTGGAATAACTTCCCTGTGGTGGCTCCCAGGGCTAACGGCAGCTCCCTCCTTTCTAAGTCCATACCTCCTAGCTTCATGTATAGTCGCTGGCTTAGTGAGCGGTTCTGAGGGGAGAGGAGGGGGAGGGGCGAGAGATAAGATACACCAATATGTGGCCTGGTGGGTTTCAACAGCAGGAGCCACATGTTTTCCCACTGTTGAAGATTGTAGCGGCCGTTCCTCGCTCGCCTTCGGCCCATTCGGGCACACATCCAACCACTCCTGCCTGTGCTGCGTATGAGGGAGGCCAATCAGGTGTTGAAAAAGGGCAAAGGGGAAGAAGAAAAAAAGGAGCATCAAGGCTTGAATTGGGTTGAGGGTCCAGTTCCAGAGTGTCCTCTGTTGATCTGTTGACTGGCAAGGATTCCGATCTAGATGGCTGTCCGAAAGCGCTGTGCCTCTAACGCGCCTTTTAATAATATGTCCCAGGTAGCCGAATCATCCCCTCAACCCAGGGCTTCTTGGAGGCAAAAGTTAATTGAACTGGTGCGTTTTCACCGCTCTTATACATCGTAGCTTTCCCCATGTCGAATTAGTCGTATCGTACTCCGTACTCCGGCAGTGTATAGGAGCTAGCTGTCTTGTTTCGTTTCTTTTTCCTTCGCTATCCTCTGCTTTGGCAATTAATACTGTTCATAGGAGGTGTGCCAGTGCGTTGGTGGATAAACTAGCTCCATTGGGTTCTCCCTGATTCCGTTCTCTCCACTGGTGTTGAGAGTCAGTACCACGTATGCGTATGGTATAGTGTATCTTCCTGTCCTGCCTCCAGTTTTTAATGTTTGTTTTCACCAGATTGTCTCCGGTATAAATAGTACTCATCTTCTTCTCGGCTCGGTTGACCTCTCTCCTTTGTCCTCTGCTTCATTCAACAGCAACTGCCCCTCCATCGCCAAAAAGAAACCTTTCCAGAAGGTGAGTTATAAGCAGCGCCATCTTCCTGCTCTTTTCATCGTCATCATAATCATCATCATCATCCGCCTCTTACCTTCTGCAAAGTCCACAAGCTGATAGTATCGCATACAGCAACTTTATCCCTCATCAAAATGGCCGCTCAACTCCCAAATAGCATGAAGGCCCTCAGGTAAACTTCCGTCCCTGGGTCAATCCCCTTCTTTAAGGGACTTCAAGGTCAGCTTGCTAAGTTATCTTGCACAATGGCAGATACTCCAAGCCTGAGGAGTTCAGCATCGTCAACATTCCACTTCCAGAGCTCAGAGAGAATGATGTTATGGTAAGCTTGCACGTGTTTCCAGGTACGGAAGCGATCGGAACAGGGAAGCGGCTGACAAATTTCTGTAGATCAAAGTCAAGGCATGTGGTGTCTGTGGCACTGATCTCCATATCCACGAGGGTGAATTTCTGGCCAAGGTTAGTAACTTCCGGTTGAAATGAATTCAAAGCAGCTCCTAATTTCCTTAGTTCCCTCTGGTTCCAGGACATGAGACCGTCGGTGTCGTTGCTGCTGTCGGCCCAAAGGTCAAGGGGTTCAGTATTGGAGACAGGGTTGTTGCAGACAACTCTGAACTCTGCGGAGAATGCTTCTACTGCCGCCGTGGTGAGGAGCTCCTTTGTGAGCACTTCGAGGCCCATGGTGTCACTATGAACGGCGGATTCGCCGAATACTGCGCTTATCCTGGTAAGTTGAGTGTTCCTGTGAAATTGCCACCTTCTGACTCCTTGGACTCATAGCTGGCCGTGTTTTCAAAATCCAAAACCTCTCGGACGTTGATGCTACCCTACTTGAGCCTGCTTCCTGTGCTGCTCACGGTCTTGACAAGATCAGCCCCAAGATGGGTTCCACTGTTCTCATGTTCGGTGCTGGCCCAACTGGCCTTGTATGTCCACCCAGACTCTCAGCCCACGTTGGTGCATGGTATAGTTACTGATAATGAAATTTGGAACAGGTTCTTGCTCAGATGCTCAGATTGAACGGTGGCTGTAAGGTCGTCATTGCCGCACCAAAGGGTCTCAAGATGGACCTTGCCAAACGCCTTGATGCTGCGGATGAGTACGTTGAGCTTTCCCGCGAGGACCCTAGCGCTCAGTTTGATGCCCTGAAAGCTGCCAACCCATACGGTTTCGACATCGTTGTTGAAGCCACTGGAAGCGTCCGAATCCTCGAGGATGCTATCAACTACTGCCGTCGTGGTGGAAAGCTAGTTGTCTATGGTGTTTATGCCAACAAGGACCGTGTCAGCTGGGCTCCCTCCAAGATCTGTAAGTCGATCCTTTTCCTGACAGGCTTTTTGAAGACTTTTGCCCTGGTAATGTTGGATCAACTTTGTTAACAATTTAATTCTCAACTTAGTCGGCGACGAAATTACCATCATCGGAAGTTTCAGTGAAACCTACAAGTTCCCTGCCGCCATTGACTACCTTGACTCTGGAAAGGTCAGAGTCAATGGCATCGTCAACAAGACCTTCAAGATTGAGCAGTGGGCCGAATGTCTCGAGTCCATGAAGAACAAGTCTGCCATCAAGGCTGCCATCACCTTCGACTAAATCAGCCAATGCAATTTTCATTCGGCGCCATCATCTTAATGAACCATATTCACGACCTCTTTTTACTTTGGAGTCGGGCCGCTTGGTTTTGTTGATCATTAATTCTTTGGTGGTGCCCTTTCATGGATGACGCTCTTTCGTTTCCAATAACAAAAGGAGATACATGGGCTTTTTCCTATTTTTTCCTTTTTTCACCAGATTCAACGGAGAAAAATCGGCCTTTTGCTGGATCAAGGTATTGGGTATCATGACGGTATTGGAAGGTGTTTGGATCAATCCTTGGAGGTTTTCGCCGTCGGCTGTTGTGGTCAATCGCGACGTCATCATTAGCTAGTATCACAGTAATGGATAGAATACCAGCACCACCTCAGCTCTCTATTGCTCGGAATTGGCATCCAAACTTGTAGCTCCAAGGCTAAAAAGTGCTGTATCGCTCTCGGGATGTTGATCAGACGAAAGATGAAGTCGAATGTCGTCCCTCTTTATAAGGTAGATCTCATACTTGCAAGGTCCCCAACCTCAATCCATGGATCCATTTGCGGGTAAATAAGGATATATGTTATTCCGACACCGACGACGCCCGGCGGCCCGGGCGGCGCCATCCATGACCTCTTAAGGTCACGAAGTGACATCAAAATGGAGACTATGAGATCAGTCAAAGGCGAGGTTCAATCGCTTTTAGAGAGTAAATTCTCAATGAACTGAATCGCAATGGTCAAGCCTCTATCTTTCAAAGGAGATAAAAAGACGAAGAAGAGAAAGCGGCAGCCTGATGATAACGAAGGGAGTGCCACAACCGAACCTTCCAAAACCTCCGCTGCGGATATTGAAGCTACAGCCGACGATAATGGCCAGAATTGGGTCTCTGCCGATATACCAGCTGAGATAGCAGGGCCTGTTTTACTTGTGTTACCATCAACTCCACCGTCATGCATTGCTTGTGATGTCAACGGAAAGGTATTCGCCAGCGAGTTGGAGAATATTGTAGAAGGGAATCCAGGTACCGCGGAACCACATGACGTCCGCCAGGTATGGGTAGCAACAAAGGTTGTAGGGAGTGAAGGAATCAGTTTTAAAGGACATCACGGAAGGTACGGGCTATTTTGATTTGCTAGTATTTATTTGGATAGAACAAACTAACTGGAAGCCCCTTTGAAAAGGTATCTTAGCTGCGATAAGTATGGTATTTTAAGCGCCAACTCGTCCGCGATATCAGCTCTCGAGTCCTTTGTCCCAATTTCTTGTCCGAACTCCCCAGGCATGATATCACTTCAGATATGTGGTGGTGATATTGAAGCGTTCATTTCCTCCAAGGAAACTCCTTCGGCTGCTTCCAAGCCGTCTATTGAAATCCGGGGTGATGCCACTGAAATTTCATTCAATACTTCTCTCAGGGTCCGGATGCAGGCGCGTTTCAAGCCGAAAACAAAGTCTGCAGCCGCAAAAGAAAGCAAGGCGTTGGAGAAGATTAGCCGGAAAGAATTAGAGGAAGCTGTAGGTAGGAGGCTGGATGACAGTGAAGTGAAGCGACTGAGGAAGGCACGGAGAAAAGGAAATTATCATGAAGAAATCCTGGATGTCAGGGTTCAAGGTAAACATGATAAGTTTGCCTAGCCTATCTACACCTTAAAATAACGCGCCGTACCGCCAGGTGCTATAACGACCAATAATGAAAAGCTTTGAGGCCAAAAGTGTACAACTGTACCATGGCGTTAGTTGTTCACAAGGTGGGAACCTCTCCATCAATAACCTCCAAGCATTCCAGGATGTTGAACCCCTATAATATGCAATACCCTCATAGAGAGTAACATGATCTATAATAAGCCTCAAAGGAATAATAACATAGATCACAAAATATCATTAAATCGTCATTGGCGTATGCGGAACGCCGCTATCATATCGTATATACCTTTCCACTCGTCAACGAGAGAAATGCTCATGTTAGATATACAAAAATCCTTATAAACTACCCCGGCTCCGTGAACAGCCACCCAACGCCATAACCCCGGTAAGCATCCCTGACGCATGCATATACAAGGAGACGTAACAGGATGTGAAAACAAAAAGAATAAAAAAAAAAAAAGAAAAAAAAAGAATAAGGGAAAAATTCCTGGTATAAAAAGTCGGGGGAATAGCAATGCAGTCTTATCTGAGAATGGGGAATAATCGGTGTACAACTTTAAGCCCTAATCAAGAAAGTTAGATTCTGACAGGATGAGGAAGGAAGGGGAGAGCATGAATGATAAGAATGGAAACTTAAGCTCTTACATTTTGGCCTGGCAGCAGCTCGTTCTCGCTCTTCATCTTCGGCCATCCTTTCGTTACCGAGCATAGCAACTGCTCTCTGACGCATTGCCTCTTGCCGCTCTGTACTATCCGCTGTATTATTGCGCAAGTTTTGTGGAAGGTTCATTAACGGAATATTCGGTGTATTAGTCCTCGGATTGGTTCGTTGTCGCTCCCGTTCTTCTTGTATTCTTCTGGCAAGTCGTTCTTGACGAACCATCAAGTTTGTTACCGTTTCTGGAAAATACCCAACTGGAAGGACACTGATCTTGCACACTGGACATAAACTGCTATTTTGCAGTAGGAACGTATCAATACACCCTGGATGGAATAAGTGTCGACATGGAAGTTCCCGAACAGTAGTTTCTCCAGAGACATAATCTTCGAGACAAATGGGGCATGTGCACTGCGAGAATGTGAGTTGGCCGACATCCTGATTGGAAGGCAAAGCTTGAGTCCGAGCATCTGTTCTTTTTCCTCCTTTGGCTTGCGCAAGTGCAGTAGACCCTCGAGAGTTACCAAACAGGTGCGAAACAAAGCTCCGTATAGCAGCAGGCTTCTTGCTATCCGGGGTGGTAGGTGACGGTGCTTGGTCAATGTTTTGTGAGACTGTTGTGACGGCTGGTGCAGGAGTCATAATATTTCCGTCATTAGAGTAAGTGTAAAGGGGCATTTTATCGAGGATATGCTGAGGCACAGTCATTCTTTTGATGCCCAGCATCTCCAAATCCACCTCCCCTGCCTGAATCCTGCGCTGTAATGACAGACGACGTCGTCTTTGGATGTACCGCATTAAAATCGACGATATGATTATAATGACAATAAGTACTCCGAGAACTGCCAGAAGAAATATCCACAGGTTTGGCATCAAACTCCGGCCTCGTGCTAGGAGGATGTGAGTAAATATATTCAGCTCAGGCCATAAGCGACAGAGTTCCCTTACCAACATCAACCCGGGCAAAAATCCTTGCGCGTGCCTTCGGACCATATTCGCTGCTAAGTGCATCTCCATGTGGTACAGATGACAAATTTCCAGAATATAGGGAGATTTCATTTACTAGTTGCTTTCCGTATGCTCCGGGAATAGCATATACCGGAAAAGGGTGGTTCAACTTCCAAGTATCGTCCTCGTCCAACTTCCATATAGTACCATTTCCCATCGGCAGTTTGCTTGTTGAGTTGTTGGGGATATAAAGAACAGTACCAACTACACGATCATTGTTTGCTGCATCCAAGAATGCAAGAGTACAGTTCGGCGATATCCAAGGAGCGATTGCCATGAGCGCACATGGGGGTTTAGGGAAATCAGAGCGTCGGGTAACATTGGGCGGAATCAGGCTCTTCGCCTCCTCATTGCAAGCATCGTTGGAGAGCTCGGGCACATATAGTAACCCACTGATAGACTCTCCAGGTCCATTTGAAGAAAGCGTCACAAGATTGTCACCAAGATCGAGTTGATAAGAGACGGTATCCTAAATCGGGGCTCATGTAAGCATTTAAATGTTCAGCGGCCCGCGATGAACCTGGAGATGACCATACATTAAGAGGTAGTGGGGAGTCGCATGTTTCTCCTGGTAAAACCAGAGTGCCGACTCGAAAGGAGCTCGATGCTAAGTGGCATTGCGTGAGCGAAAGTCCATGGGAGAGCCGGGCCGACCAGACCAGACTTACCCATGAGATATCAGGATATAACACCAGGGCTGGGGCCCAGGTATGATGTTGAAGGGAGCACTCCGGTTTCGGCTCGATTTCACGAATAACTTTCCCACCGATAGAATCCGAGAGTTGCAGCAGAGGAAATTATTATTTTATCATAAGAAATATATCCAGCACGGGTGGGCGGATCTTGGGGATGTGATTAAGCAATTTATAAGTCGCCCCGTCTCCAGCCGCAAATCATTTTGCCCAAACACCATCCAGCCTGCGCACTTTATACTGGGGCTAGGATTCCCTCGCTTGAATACGATGACAAAATCTAATCCTCAGCGCTAATCAAATTCAAGGATGGTGTCACCCTCGAGGCTGGTACGGAGCACTCAGGTACGAAACGAGCAAGGAGGGTGGCGATCAACTTGTCCATATATCTTTCACAAGCAAGCGGGCATGGCAGCTATTATTAAGTGATGCGGGACAGATTCTGGTCATCCGAGTGATAAAGCCGGGACTGAGACGTGGAGAGCGCTAGACGATATGCCCCAGACGGACTGCTCCAACACCCAGCCTGATCAGCGTTTAAAGCTTGGCTCGCAGACCCACGAGACTTGAGGGTGACAAGAGCTATATTTATCAAGCTCTAGATCACCAGCCGTACCAGACACTTTCGGACAGGATGAAGCGATCCAGGAGTATGTAGTGTACTTATTCAGGCGATAATAGGAGTAGCAGCGGCTTCAACTCCAATAACAGCAGTATTTGCCCGTGAGAATTGCCACTCCTCAATGTTTCAGAAACAAGATGTTCGCTTGCTAGTCATTGATTCCCAAAGACAGTGAGTCCATTGAATACGGTCAGGTCTTTTTTCTGTTAAGATGGCTGCAAGCGCTCGGTTACAAGCATGCCACGCTTACTCCATACATGGCGTGTTCACGCCACCAGGTGGGCGCATTTGTTTCCAAATCACTCAGGTTTTCCGTATTCATCGACGCTCAATGACTTAAGTATTGCCAGTTCGATGTGTGTGAATTTCGGGATTTTCGGCAACACGGAGCTGTTGCCATGGATGATCACTATGATTTGGTAATGAAGTGTTCCGTCAAACAGTTGAAGCCCGAAGGGGTCTAAGCCACAGCATGATTTCCTACCCTGGTTTCAGGTGAAATTTTACCCTCCTTTGGAACCACAATCGACAACGCCCTTAGAAAGGTATGGATTTGTCATTTTCAAGCGAGCATGGAGAGAGGTATTAATCGGGTCACTTCAGCGAACCATCAACCAGGTGTCGAGAAACAGAGGGGAGCTTGAGCATGTTAGCCGTAAGAAAAACCCCTAAACTGTCAAGCAAAGCGGTCTGTCTCAGCATCTTCGTCTCTCACAAGCACCCTTGGAGCAACACGGATTATCTGCCTCTTTCGTGTAACTATATTCGCATTTTGGGTGCTCGCTTTGTCGTGTCAGACAGTTGGCTTGAGAAGTCGTTTTTTCTCGTGTCAGAATAAGGTTGTGTGTTATGTAAGATAGAATGATTACTAATAACGTTCAGCACGGGCCAGTTCCAGAAAACGGGGCATAGAGGCGTCAGTGCGGCAAGTTTGTTCAACGACATCCAAAGCAGAACGCGAAGCCGCACGCTGAACTTGATATCGACGCAGCGCAGCCTGCTATTTACCCATCGGTACCTATTATACGTCTCTACCTTCCTGCTGAAAGACAATCTAGGCTCAGCGGAAGATTTGCTGCGTTTCCCGAGCTTTCTTCGCTTCTCCGATCGCCACCTCCAAGCTTCAGCACCGCGATGCCACCAGGTCTCGGGAATAAGAACAAGGGCAAAGGCCGCGAGCCTAGAGGTTCCAGGAGCCGGAATACCACACCCAGCTCTGCGCTCAGCACAAGCGCCAGCACAGTTACCGGGATTGGCCTATCCACGGGCTACCTCGATAATGATGTCTCCAAGCTGCTCGTGCCGACTGGCGTACAGTATTCCGACGTTCTCGAGAAATTTGGAGGAGTAGGTCAGATTCCGGATCAGAGAACACTCGAATCCCTGGTAGAACAATTGAAGACTTTAGGGCAGCTTGCAGAGACCAGAGAAGATGCATGCAATGCTGGCATGAGAGAGCTGTCGCAAAAGCGAAAAGAGGTGCTAGAAGAGCAGAGAGAACGGGAACAAGTGGATCGGGACGCTGAAGAGAAACTACGAATGAAAAGGGAGGCAGATGATGATGAAGAGGATTCACGGATTCTTAAGGGAGGTAGAATAAAAAAGCGGAAAGAAAAAATCGTCCCGAAGGAGGAGAGACCGCTCTCCCATGGTGCCCATGGTGTTGCAAGACAGGATGGACCTGAAGGGAAAGTTGATGGTAAGTTGAGTCCAGCGATGTCAATGGAGCTATAAGCTTGCTTCTGTAGCTTTATGAGTCCACCTGGGTTATTAACGTACGGCTTATAGCGTCCGTAAAAAGAGGGAGTAAAGACGCCCCTGTTGGCTCACCTAAAAGGGTACGAAATCAACCGTCAAGCGCATCATCTCTGTCTCCACCGTCTTTCCATTCGCCTCCCCCTGCTACTGCTGGTTCAACCGCAGGAAGTCCCGAGTCCGTGGACAGTTCAGAATCCCATCAACCGGAACCTGCTCCCGCCGTCCATCAATATCAAGTTTTTGGGCCCGACCCTTTACAATTTGACGACCCTACGGTATACCATATTCGAGAAGTCACGCCCAATATGTCAGTTGAAGAGAAGAAAAAGATATATAGCGTTGCAAGCTTCCCTGAATCCGACTTGAAGCATTTAATGGCTGGGGAACCACCGGACAAGGATTTTAGCAATGCGAAACCCACGAACCAAGTCAGCGCCAATACTTTTGCTACATACCTAGAACCATATGTCCGACCCCTTACAGAGGAGGACATAGCTTTCTTAAAGGAAAAGGTACGAACCTTGCACCGTGAATTCTTTTTAATTCCACAGTAAATCTGACTGTACAGGGCGATCGTGCTACTCCCTTCCTAATGCCCCGTCGTGGGAAAAAACATTATAGTGACATTTGGGCTGAAGAGGATGGTATAAATATAGACTCAATAAACCAGGACCGAGACAAGTTGCCCCTAAATCAGGGTAGGGGTAGTATTGACCAGATCACAGATGAGACCTGTGAGACGGACCAAGTTTCAGTTCCTCCTATGCTCAGTCGATTATACTCTCTTTTACGTTACGAGCATCGTACCCTTCCTGATGATGCAGGTCAGCCTGGGAACGAAGAGTCAACTGCAAACGGAAACACAAATGCTGACGGCTCAATGGATATTGACCAGCAAAATGGAGACACAGAGCCAAAGCAGCTAAGTTCAGCCACCTCATTCCCTGAATCTTCCTTAAGCGGATTCAAGGTTCCAGCCGCCAAGCTAGACCATGCCCAGCTTGACGAACGATTAAAGGCAGAGCCTCGGTACATCGGCTTCCTGGGGCCTGAGGACAATCCAGACTATGATGCCCACTATGATGACGATATCGCCGAACGGCTCCGCATCCTTCAATCAGAGCTTAAGAAACAAATGATCATTAACGGCGCACGGAAAACTCGCTTACTAGATATTGCTCGCGAGCGGTTGGCTTATCAGGAATACAGCACCATACTCGATGACCTTGACACTCAGGTACAACAGGCATATCTTAAACGAACACGTACTCTGGGCAAGAGCAAGAAAGGCTCTCATGCGAAACATAGGCCTGGTGGTGCAGGTGGAGGCAGTCATCCTGTTAGCACGGCTGGTGTTGGCAGGCCTGGGATTGGTGACATGGCCCGTACCCTTATGGACCGTCGCAAGAGATGGATCGATTGCATTGGTCCGGTCTTTAAGGACTGCAAGTCCACTGTGCCTGGTAAAGACGAGACTGTCTGGGAGCCTACGGCCATGGCAGATTTAGAGAAAGCAGAATTGGAAGGATGGGATGAAGAGCAAGAGTGAAAAATAACGCATCACTTTACGCGGCGTTCTCTCTTCTCTGTGTTTTTATTTTTTTATCTTTTTGGGATCAACTGTAAGTCATACATAGGGTGGAATAGATGTAGGGTTGGCGTCTCGTGGGTATGAAGATGAAACCTCGCCGGCAGAGAGTATAACGAAACAACACGAAGATGCATAGTAGTTTTTATGGGGATTGGTTAATCAACTGATGGTGTATATATTTTACGAGTGGATGATCACAACCTCTCGTGGGTATCGCTTTAGTCTAGCTGTGAGCTCCTTATCGGTGATCTCAAGTTCCGTGCATATTTCATCAAAGCAATGAGTTCCATCCAGGTACTTGGCAAGAGTCTTGTTGTCTATACCATAGTCCCCTGCCTCACCGTCCTCCTCCCCCTCGGAATCATCATCCCCAAACCCATCATCATCGCCATCGTTACCCTCATCATCGTAGCGATGAAGCGAGCGACGGTTACGTGCTCGGCTTCGAGGGGAGAGGGTAGATGTATTTTTCGATAGTGGTTTGCTGGTTGACAGGGGGTCAATACCACTAGCTGTAGAGCCTAGGCGGTCACGGGTGAACGGGTGGGCGACCCGGTCAGTTGCGGCACCAATGGAATATCCCTCAATAGGAGAAGTTAAAGGGAAGTGGTTTGACTGCCTTCTTTGGTGGGTGTTTTGTATAACCCTTCCTGTAGCAAAGGGATATTTATGCACTCGGTACAAAAAGCCCTTGATGACACCAAAGGTGATAAAACGGCGGACGTCAATATTTGCAAGCTCGCGCATATGTTTTAGGTACCATTGTTTGACGGTCTGGCCTTGTTTTAAACTCGAGTATAGCTCTATGAGACCGACTCCATCGACGATTGTTCTCGAGTTAAATTTACTTGAGCCCTCGCCTGAAGTAGACGGGATGGAAGTATCGATCTTTGGCCAGATGCTGTCATGTTCCACCCAAGGATCGTCATTGGGTACAGATACCTTATGGCTGGAGTGTGATAGCGAAGCCCTCTGAAGATTGGATGCAGATGAAGATGTACCCAGGGTAGAAGTAGGTCTAGTCACAGGCGAAGATTCACTAATGGGTGAAAACCGTATGTTAACGTACCGTGCACATTCACACTGCATCTTTTTGTCTGTGACGATAGTAGAACTAAACTCCGCAGTTGGAGCATAGATGGCGGAGAATGAGAATATATCCAGAAGGAATGCACATCCGTAGTATATCAGATGGCGTATTGCGCGGCAGGTAAGGGTGAAATCAGCATCAGATAGAATGGATATTTTCCGAACGCTATTAATACCATTGATATATGGAACTATCTGTGTTGAACATTAGTAGGATTCAAACGATGAGGCACAAGAAGATTGTATCATACCCTTCTCATAGTCAGGTCCCAGTTCTCATCCATGAAGGTCTCACACCGAACAGTGAAAAGGGGAACATGCCATGCTTTGACGATAGGCGGCGAAGGGTATAGAGGAAACAGCTTGACATTAAGGGTATTCAATTCATCTGGTAACGCAGTCAGCATACAGCATCTGATGGCCTAACGGGGTAGCCAAGTTTGAGGGTAGCGTACCAATTGGAATCATGCACTCGTAATAACTATTCAGATCCTCCATCAGCGTTTCGCACAGGCTATATACCTTGCCTTCTCCGTCCTTGGACGTATCCTTCGACAAGAAGCCAGACTGCTCTTCGAGCCCGCACATCAGATGCGCCAACTTCTGCACCACACTCTTGTAGGTCCCCCATTCGTCCTCTTCGCTCAGCACAATGCAGAAGTTGAATATGAATTCATTCCGGTCGTAGCGAGGCGACTTCATGCAGACGGGGGATCCGAGTATTCTGTGTCCGCCTGTGCAGACGTGGATGAGATTCCCGCACAGCTCCTGTCGAGGGATGACGAAGAAAGAGACGTCTGAGAAGCTAAAGAGGGGAGAAGATCCCGGCGGTGCGGTTGGAGAGGGAACGATAGCTCCATCAGGCACCTGGTGAACGACTTTGGGCCCTGTACCGCTTGTGTTAGTATATGTCTACTTGATGTATGGAGGGTGAGTCGGTGGTGGTGATGGTGACGGTGACGGGGGGCGTTGGCATGCCTGACTGAGTGTCGAATCGGCTGTAGAAGATGGCTTTGATCATGATTCAATCGCGGCTCCTGACGTAGAGGAAAGAGAACGACCCGATAAGGGCGACATAACTCTCTCCTGGTTGTTTCGGCCTTCCAGTGAGTTGTAGCTGTTAGCCTGTTACCATCGTTCGAGCTCGTTAGTCAAGGTACGGCCAGCGAGTTGTTAGTCATTGAAGGAAAGGTCTGTGTTTTACGTTGACAGCCAACAAACACAACCATAACACATAACTAGCTAATGGATATCGTCCTAACCGCTGATAACTATTCAACCACGCCGAACTGATTGGGCAGCAGGCCTTTACGCCCCTTTATTGCAAATGTCAAATATCCAATATGACGAGAGGGTGACGCTCGCACCACGCTTGATAATCCCACTGACAAATGGTTCCAGAGTAGAGCCGCCCCCAGTTACGGCTGCCTAGCCTGTTCCAACGCTACATCCCAGCCTGCTGCCAACGATTAGAACTGCATATCAAGCTTCAGCTCATTTCAAAATGAAGAGACAGGACTCCTCCACAGCCAACAGCGAGTGGGCTTTCACGCCCTTCTCTATAAGCAGGATGCCTCAGCATGCCAATTAGTTAGTCATGGGCTACCCAGCTTCTCGTAAGCTAGGCTTATATATACCATTATGCCTGGCGGCGGTGTTTCAATCGAACTTGCCAGTGCTCTCCCGGCCGGCATGATACCCAATTAGCAGCTCGATTTGTTCGCTCGAGCTGGAATTATGTGAATTCGCGCTTTGGGATCTCCTTCAAAGGTGCTGACAAGTTGATCAACGCATGAGTGATTATAATGTATAAGCTATAGGATTACTATAGGATTACGATGCATATCCAATTTCTCTATGCGATTACCACTGCCCATGATGGGGGCTGATTCCAATGTCTTGTGTTTTGCTCTATGATGGCGATGACATGGGTGTCGCTTTCGAAAGGATTTACCTACTTATAGTCCGTCGAAGTCCACCCGTAAGATGCTCTTCAAACCAGAGCCAGATATCAGCCTGAGTTGGTACCCTCCCAATTGAATTGAAGCTCTAGGACCGCATGAGATTTACGGATTACCTCGCTCTTGATTCTTCAAAATGAAAGCTGCCTTCTTACTTCTGCTTTTTAGCATCATCCTGAAGCTCGGAAAACTTGTTAAAGGAGCTAAGACCTTCTCTGAAAATGGGCTAGACGCAGCTTCATTCCTTGGAGATCGGGATACCCCTGTGTGTGGAGAGTTACCCATTGACCAGCCTTCGACATCGGTCATTGACGCCGGCCTCAATGGCTTGCCCGGGGCGTCGGTCGATTATGGAATTAGCGACGGGTGCAAGAAGACAGGCGGTTGCGACGAGACGAAAGATAGAAAAGATTGTCTTGATAAAAGAGGCCTGCTAAGTGGGATAGGGAAGAGGATATTCGGGAAGAAGGGTGGTGGGAACAAAGGTAATGGGAAAAAGAATGATGGAAAGGGGAATGAACATACTACAAAGGACAGTCCCAAGCCAACAAAAGAGGAGCCTAAGCCCACGTCCACTCGGCCTACTAAAAATACCACCACGTCAACTGCTACAACATTCTCCAAACCGACTTCCACGACGATCCCTAGAACTACTGAAAATGCCCCCAAGCCAACATCTACAACACTCTCCAAGTCCTCATCAACCAAAAATCCGGAGCCATCATCCACTTCTACTTGTGAGAATGGCAATGGAAAAAATGGAGGACAAGACTGTTTGGACGATTGCCCCAATATTGAAGTTTGGGAGCCAGGGACATTTGAAGATGATGACCGAGAAGAGCTGGCCATCCGAGGGACTGGCTTTTTCGGCATGGAAAAGAGAGCAAAAAGCGGTGGCAAGGGTATCAAGATATGTGATCTGAAAGTGTACACCGATGCTTATCCGCCTGGAGGCAAGCTAACAAAGGTATGCTAGAGCTATGCATTGAGACATACACCCAAGTTACTAACCTGTTCGCGACTTTAGACTTCTGGTATTGCGAATGATATCATCTTCGCCCTAGCAAATCCGAATTCATGTGGAGATTTCGACTTCGGAAAACGCTCAAATAAAAAGTATGATACCACTTACTCCTCTAAGGGTAAGAAAGTGAGTGGGAACCAGGTGCTTGAAACTGAGCATGTACTGGAGGGCCAGGTAATTGATATCTTCTTCCGGAATATGTCAATGACACTTCCCGAAAATTATGACGACCCATACGAGAAGTCGCCCAAGGACAAGGTGGATCTTTGCAAATACATCTCCCCCTATTGGGACTTGAATAATAACAATCCGCTACCAACTGTGAATAAAGTGACTAAAAATGGCCCTCAGTTGATTGCTGATCAGTACCCAACAAACTCAAAATGGCAAGAGGAATTCTTTCTATTGCCTAAGGGTGTTAATGGGCTAAAAGGAATTGTAAGTCATTTGCCCTTTATTATAAGTTCTATAGCTAACTGCTTTACACAAAGGTGTGGGGCAACAAAACTATTGTAAAAGATGGTTTAAAAGCTGATCTGGATAAGAATTTCCTGAAAGGAGACCTTCAAAAGTCCAAACATGTGAAAGCAATTATGAAGTTTAAGGATGTGATGTCTATGTATAAATACCACCACGACTCCGCCGTGGTGGATGTCCTTAAGCTGCAGGTTGGACGCATATCGAAAACGCTTGAGGAAGTCGAGAAAAGCCTCAAACAGCTGGATTTCAAACGTCATGGCACCACGAAAAAAATTTGGCGGAATTACAAACCCCAGAACCTGCATACGGAATGGGAAGAATGGATCAAAAAACACACAGACGACACCATAGCCAGGACCAATAAGTTTTTTGCCGCCAACTATGATGATATGGTAGCAGCAAGGAAGGAGTTGGAAAAGGTGGATAAGTCGAAGATGAGCAAAGATCACAGAAAGAGATATGAGAAGGTTATTCAGTATCATAAAAGCGCAGAAAAAGCGTACAGGTATTTGAAGAAAGTGGAATGGAGAAACCCTTTCTGAAATGTAATTAGGATTTTACAGACGTAGGAAATTTAGGGGCTATGTAACTATTATAGTTAGATGACTAGTTAATTGAGCTATCTTATGGATACTATCTCATCATGCACCTTTTCAGTTTTTACTTAGGGTCTAGTTATAGGCACTTTACCCCAGTTGATAACTCCCAGGTGTAAAGATAAGTTACACCCTTGCACCAGTTAACTAGTATATTAAATCAATTCTCAATAGTCCTACTTAGCTTTGGTTATCTTTTAGCGGCTTCCCTGACCTGGAGCCCTGTTTAATATTCAATATGTACTTTGCAGTTATTAAAGGTGTATGTCCCAAATAAAGCTTATAACAGATTCCATATATCTAAATCATATACTTGTATAGCATGTTAAAAACACCCATCATCTATTTTATCCTCGTCTCCTTTACACTAACATTTGAGAATAGGGAATGAAGTAAATCCAATGATATCAGGTCTTGTCCAAGTAGTTAGATGGTGGGGGGTTACTATCGATAAACTATCTCTCCGTCGGGCCCCAATGCCTCCATCCAATACCTCTCAACCTCCTTATTAGGGCGCCAGTCTTGTACATCACATATAAAGCTAGGCTTCTGGATTTGTGGACCCTGGAAGAATGGGCTCTCCATGCCACTAGTACGATAATAAATGTCAAATTGCCGTTTAAAGCCTGCGACTTTGATATATTTTGGGGATAACGCTGGGTCGGTACAACCTAGATCAACTCGCTCAATAGAGGGTGCATAACGGATAGCCTGTGCCATGGCTATTAGAAGGGGGTCCATCCTCTCAGGGTTTGGAATACTGCGAAATGTGTTCTGAGAATCCTCGTTGCTATAAGATTCCTGGGTATCATTCTTCCTAGTAGCCCCTATAAACTCAGAGTGGGAAGCAATTTTTGAATCACCCATAAAGTACCACTCCCCATTGGGAGTGGCTGACGATATCGAAACACATAGCTCCTTTAAATTTGGCCAAAATGGTGTCGGAGCCGGCTTGAAGTTATCATATGGCCAGAAGAACTCTGGTGAGATAATATGACTTCCGTTAATATATACTATCGAAACGCCTGTTCGCTGAATAAACTCGTGGAATGCAAGATTCATTGGGTCCACTAGCGAGGAAGATGGGATATAATTCGGGGGATCAATTGCTTCATCAGGTGGGTCGGAGTACTCCATTTCAAGCTTAAACTTCCTTAAGGAATGAGTATATAGAGAGAGGGCATTTGTAAAGGCTATTAAACCAGGTATTAGTATAAATTGTGAATTTTATCTGATGTATAAGCATATTGTACATACCAGGCCGAATTATCTTCCGGGTTTCGTCGCCAATATAGTCTCGATGGTCATCATATTCGTTAGCAGAGACTTGTAAACCCTTAAGCTTGCCTGCAATAAGAATGCCTGATGCAGGGTCTAAAATACGTGATCCACCACCATGGCGAGAATAAAAGCTAGATACACATGAGAGGGTAGGCAACCTTTCGTGGTTCAGGAGCTTGATATATCTCCCACTAATTCCAGCGATATGGTCCAGATCATAGAAGTTATCGCTCGGCGAAAATATATAGGTTATATGTAAATCCAGCCCATCACCCCTTCTAATATTTCTCTTGACATTCTCATCCTCATTAAAGGTCTCAAGCACCTGGAATAGCTCAAGAATAGCAGTGGAGAATACTTGATTGTTGGCCTCTTCATGCTGATGGTAATTATCCCCGTCGTAGGTTGGTAGAAGAACCTGGAAATCAAGTGACTCAACCAGAGCTTTGCGATGGGCCTCGGTTTCACGGAAGAGTCTTGCAAACGTAGATAGACTAGTGTTCTTAATCTCGAGACTTCTGAAGAAGAACCGTTCAATAACGCGCTGCCAGCGTCGAGAAACGGTCAGATATGGCTTTAAATGGCGTTCCTCTTTTCCGATGTAATCAAGGATAGATAGAAAGATCTCTTGCGGGACTGTTTCCATGGTGGCAGTGATGCCTGGGATCATTCAATCTTTGAGCCGAGTGAGCGAATATTAACCGAAAGCCACTCTCTCATGGGGGTATCTTGATCAATAAGACAGGCTCTTATCATGTACTCAAACTTTCTTGTCATGTATATATTTGTATCTCACTTAAACGCGATGGAAAATGTTTGCCAAGGACTATTGTCACGTGCTGACAAGTTTGTGTCAGAACATGAACCACAGGACCGACCAACTATATTCTTATTTACTTGATCAACTCCAACTACATCAACATACAAGCACTTAAACAAGTCAGATGGAATGCTAAGTGAGATATAATTGACGTAGTCAATTCTTCTACAATGAACGTCTGAAAGGTGAGAATGAACTGTTGTTCCCCTGATTGCAAACAGGCTAGATACAATATTAAAGAAGCCTTGCGAGAGCATAAAAATGCAATAAACAAAGATTAAAAATGCAAAGGCCACTATCAAGGAAGTAAATAGAAATATGGATAGGAACATATAAATAGGAGCATCGCATGCTTGCGCTCAGGGATATCATAAAAGGAACGAGAATATATGCCGAAGGAAGCTGAAAAGGGAGTCGTTATATGAAGCTTCAGAGAGAAAAAGCGAGCAGCGGAGATAACGAGGCGTAAGAGGAACAGGAGAACAGATCTATCCATAGCCGTAAGGTCTTGGGGAATACGTAAAAAGGTTCTGCGACGAGAAGAGCTGAGATGGGACGAGGATAAGGGGTACGGGACTGCAGAGAGCGAGATGCTCGCTTGAACGCTAGTAGTGTCGAGAAGAAGCAGTCCCATAAACGCCATTAATCGAAACTGAATCGAAGAGAAGAGAGAGAGAGAGAGAGAGACAGTAAATAATAAGGGGAAAGGTCTCCTGTATCAATGCGCCGGTAAAATGCCTGGATAAAACGAAAGCCGTAAAAAAAAAAAAAAAAAAAGGAAAGAAAAGAGGATTTTCAGCTGTGGTGGTGGAGGTCTCTTGATGGCTGGGCTGAGACGGTCGTAGAAGGGGTTGAGATAGGTGCTATGGAGTGAATAATGTCGCTGTTTATGGCTGGTGAGCCGGCAGAGTAGCTACGAAACGCAGGACTGGGTGATCCTGGCCCTGCAAGATGGGGATGGTGGTATTGGTGCAGATGATGGGGGTGGCTCTGGTGATGCTGGTGATGCTGGTGTACGGCCACACCTCTCTGTGTAAAGTCGATGGCTCGTCCTTCACGAATGGCATCGAGCATGTCGGTATAACCACCCCGTTCGATAGCCTCCTTGAGCCACTGCTCCCATATCTCATCAAGGGCAACGTTGATCCCACGCTCCCGGGCTGCAGTGGCTTCCAGGAGGTGCTCGTTCAGGGCCACTCCATAGCTCTCCAGGTCTTCGTCGCTGCTGCTATCCTCAGTCCCGCTCTCACCGGTAATGGGTCCGTTGGTGTCTGATCCAGCGTTGCTGGGCAGTATAGGTCCGTCAATGATCTGTGGGCGACAGGAAGAAGAAGAGGAGCAGCACTCGTCGTCCGCTTCAACCGCTGCCACCTCTGCTTCTTCGGCTTCGCTCGCCTCTCGTACGGGTGCAGCATGGACGTGGAGCGTAGGCGGCATCGACGGAGCAGCAGGCTTGATCTCGTCTGCGGTAGTGTCTCGCACTTTGATGCCGGTATCTCGCTCGTACCGTTCTCTGGCCGACTTTGTGCCCTCCCAGCGACAGAGAGACGAGATCTCGGCCTCGGTCAGCCCGAGCTCGTCAAAGACCTTGAACAGCTTCTTGTGGTGGTGGAAACGGCCTAGTCTCATGCGATGAGGGCCATACGAGTAGTCTAGGCCGGGATACTGAGCTTCAATGCAGTCGAGCGTTCCATAGAAGGTCGACGTCTCTACTCGCACTTCGGGGACGAGGTTTCTGGTGATGTGCGAGGAGAAGGAGGACGGGTCATTGCCGCGAGGCTTGCTGAAGAGGGCGTTGTACACCAGATGGGTGAGCGAGGGCTTATGCATGGCTGCGCTGCTGTTGATGCTGGTGCTGGTGCTGGTGCTGGTAGCGTTTCGGCGAATTTCTTCGGACTTTGACCAGGAGGTGACGGGAGCTTGTTGAGCCGGAGCTTGCTTGATTCTTCTGCCACTCTCAGGACGGTCTCAAAAAAAAGGAGCAGCGAGATATAGATGGATGCGAAAGGATGTCTCCTCCCTTGCAGACCTGCAGAGTGAGGAGAAGCTGAGCTGTCCCGTCTGCCGCTATGATCGCTGTTTAGTTGCAGCTCAGCCTCGATGTAGGCGGGAGAGACCAGAGGCAGAGACAGAGTCAGGGGGGTGGGCAGACCAGTAGAAGACAAACAAACCCAGCAGGCCGGCGAGTGAGCAGGAGGAGTATTTATGTCTTCCCGAGATGCTCCAGCCAGACGATCGAGCTGCTCAGTCTATTCGCTGGCGTCTCCTTTTTTATTATTCCTTTTCCTTCTCGCTATTTTTCTGCTTTTCCGTCGTCTTTCTTTCTTTTTTCCTTCCAGGGGATGGAGGAGGCAGAAGATGATGGGATGTAGAGAGGGCAGGGTAAGAAAGTAATTTAAGCAGGACGAGATGAGAGAGCCTTTCTTCTTCTGCTGGGCTCTGTCTTTTTTTTTTTTT